AACCCGTCTGAAAATAAAATTCGAGACTGGATATCTGTTATCCCGAGACATATGAGATAATATAAGGGGAAACCTGTCTGTTGATAAATTTCGAGCTTGGATGTCTGTTATTCCGAGATATATGAGATAATATATTGGGAAACCCGTCTGGATGTAAATTTCGAGACTGGATGTCTGTTATTTCAAATTATATGAAACAATATAAAGGGAGACCCGTTTTGAGGTAAATTTTTAGGGAAAATATCTGTTATTTTTAGATATATGTGACAATTCATGGCGAAACCTGTCTGATGGTAAATTTCGAGACAGGAGGGTCGTTATTTCTGCACACATGGGACAATTTATAGAGAAATCTCTCTTGGAGTATATTTCTAGACTAGATATCTTTTATTTCTGACCACATGAGACAATATCAAAGGAAAGCTGTCTGGAGGTAAATTTCGAAAGAGGATGTCTGTTATTTCTGGCCATATAGGACAATATAAAAGAAACACTATCTGAAGGTAATCTTCGAGAGTGGATATCTATTATTTTTGAACACATAGAACAACATGAATTGAAAGCTGTATGGAGATCAATTTCGAGTGTGAATGTCTGTTAATTCAAAATGCATGTGCCAGTTGCATGGGGAAACCCATCTGGAGTGCGAATTTTTCAGCTTATGTAGTCATCTCCTCTTGAATAGAAAGCTGAAACAAGATACATTGAATATCCTTAGGTGGATCTATGTGTGAATTTGAAACTAAGTCTCTATCAGACACACGCACACACACATGCACACTCGCATACGCGCGCGCACACACACACATATACACACACGCACGCGCGCGCACACACACACAATCGCACACACTATCTCTCCTTGTCTCTATCTCTCAACTATTGGAGGCTTACAATCACATCACATAACCTTGAAACACTTATTCCCGTAAGGCTAACGAAGTTAAGCAACGTCAAGCCTGGTCTGTACCTAGATGGGTGAACACTTGGCAATACCAGGTGTTGTAAGCTTAGATGTGTGGCTGGTGTAATATATAATGTCTCGAAATTGTTGATCGGAGAGCCAAATTCCAATTCCCGTTCTGTTTGTTAAATTCTCTTACGCGCAAATACCCTTGGGAAATGTATGAAATCACTTATTATGCCCCATTATTAGTTAATTAGTAAAACTTTTATCACTAAACCATTAGTATCTAAAAATGTTCTTACAATCTAAAAATATTTTCTGGCTTTAAACAACCTGCAAAGGGTTGATAAGCTGTGAAGAAAATAACAAATCAAGTAATCAACTATTGGAGTTGTGCGTAAAGAAATGCATATTGAGTAAGGATTCTGTGACTAAATAGTGCCTTTCGCCAAATCGAAAAATAATAAATGTGAGTGTTAATTTGCAATATAAGCACCAAAACTTGCAGTGTAAGCACCATTCTGTTGTGAAATTTCCTGGTTATTTCGAAAATGACATTAAAACCTTGCACTCGATTACCGTTTTCGATTTATCGTCAATGTAAGTTCGATCCATTTCACGTTGTCCGGCCGCCATTACTGGCGTTGTTTTCATACGTTTTCTTCTCATTGTAATGCGCAGAAGCTTACTTAGTTAACCGCCTTTTTCCAGATTTTCGTATCTTACTGGTCTTGATTAGTGCGTGATTTTCGCGGATGTTATTTTAAAATGCGTTTATTTTTTTAAAATGAAGTTTTAAAGGAATTGCATTTTTTCTTTACTGTCCTTAATAAATCTGCTTATAGCTAATGAAACAGAATCTCACCCTAAAATGTAATTTATGAAGCTTTATATTAAAAAAAAATTCACGACACATAAAAAAAAAACATTGTTGAAAAAAATAGGAAAAATTTTTTTTTTTAATTTTCAGGCACGTAATTTTTATTTCATTTTATTTTAATTGTCGGATTTTACGTTTTTTCGCGAATTATTTCGCGCATTCATTTCAAACTTCGCGCATTGCGCAGTAATCAAAACAAGTGAAGCTTCCGCGCCGCATGACGACTCGAGGCAAACGTTTGTAAATAAAGCCAGTAATGGCTGACGTTCTGTGTACGCGACGAGAAAGAAGTCGAACTTGTCCAGAACTTCTAAACGGTAATCAAGCGCAATATTTTAATGACATTTTCGAAATAACCAGGCAATTTCACACCAGAATGGTACATTCTCACTACCGGGGGCTTTTGTCGGTTATACTGCAAATTTATCAATGGGAGGAGCCAAGATTAATTAAAAGTTATTTTTCTTTCTTCTTTGATGCACCAGTACGTGGGAAATCATACCTCTCCGCAACTGCCTATCTTTTGTAGCTGTAAGTAACTATTGACTCGTTAGCCATCACTCTTTGTGACAACCATTCTCACAAATTCCTCAAATCGGTTACTTTGGCTCAAAATCAGTTTTATTTGACACCATATGATTCTACTTACCAACTTATATAAGTAACGGCATTAAACTAGAAATGCATAAAATGCACCAAATCTGTCATTATCATGCAAGCACCCCCCACACCCGCTGTTTCTTTTGCCTTCAATATGTCATGAGAGTGTTAAATTCTCCAGGTTCACTTCCCTCATTGTGTACCCATATAAAGATTAAGAAAACGAAATCTGTCACTGAATAGCTGCATTTCATGGCAGCCTAAAAAACACTTATGTAATATTATTATCAAAAGCAGTGGTTCGTATGTGCAGGTAACCTAGCGGTTATCGGGGCGGAAACTGTAATCGATGAACCTAGTTCAAAATTCCGGCCTATCTTGGTGTGCTCACTTTCTCACAAATACCTGTCGGAAAGACATAAATTCATCACCCCCCCTCCCCAACACACACTCCACAGTTTTGAGTAAAATAAGAGGATAGACTGGACATTCTCACCTTCTAAGAGAATGAAAGCTCTAAATTCCAAATAGTTGGGGTGGCAACAAGAAATCACCCGAAAAATTCTCCCCCCACCCACCAAAAAAAATGGCAATTCACATAATAAAGGGCATCTGGAAAGTGCTGATCGCCTCCGCCCTGAAATTAAATGACATTCACTGGGAAATATCTTTCACGAGAAATCATGTAATAGCTAATTTCACCAGTACCCCTGTATTATTCCCAGTATTAATATTGATTTTAGTAATGAAGTCGTTTGAATGGTTTCAATTCAACCAAATTTCTTGAAGTGCTTTTCAGGACTGATTCAAGAGTACCAATAATGAGAAATAAGATCTAACACCCGACACGTTACTTAATCTATTTATTTTAATGGTAGTTTTTTTTTTCACTTGAATATTATGTACTGAGGGAGGATCAGCCAATCTATCTTCTTCAAGTAGGCCCAGTTAGCTACCCCTGATTGTGTGATCTTCTTGGATGCCATAAAAGTTTATTTTTTGCATTCACTATCATAATTCTGATTTGTGCATATATTAATAGTTAACATCGAAAATTATTATTATTAAGTATGGCATGTGTTGTACTTCTGAATACAATATTTTTATTTCTTTGAGGCTTGAGCTACCAGGGATCCCTTCAATGAGTCTATCGGAACCTTTTGCAATGAAACCCACAGCTCCAACAACAATTGATGTCCTCACGTGCCATATATTTTGAAATTTCCATTTCAGGATACTTGTACTTTGATAGTTTTTGAAGATTATCATAATAGATTACAGTCTGCCGAGGCTGCCATATCAATAAGAAGGCATATCCTAATTTTGTAGTCCCTAATCCCGGTGTCTGGATGATTAGCTGTTGTTGTTCTGTCTGTATATATTGTAAAGTCCCATAAAATTGTTACAAGTCCGATTTCTGTAACCGGGTCTGGATGGTGTTCATACCAATTTCTTCCAGTTTCCTTTCCTTAAAAATTGCATATTTTCCAATTCAAATATTGACCCACTCTGTCATGCCGGTTTTTATATTCAGTGGGTGCCAACATCGTGCAACCTGATAAAAGTTGGTCAATTCTTTCTGGATATTTATCACAGAATCTGCATTTTGGGCTAACACAGTTTTTCAGTATGTGGACTTGGTAATTTCAAGTCAGAAAGCATTGGTCATGTGTAGCAAGAATAAAACATTGGGTTTCAGCTTTTAATCCTGCACTACGTGACCACTGAGTGCATAGTTAAAAGTTTATTATTATTATTATTATTATTATTATTATTATTATTATTATTATTATTATTTCCATGAGTTTTTGTTGTATACACATTTCCTTCCTGGTCCCAACCAGAGATCTAAGCCCAGAAATAGCATTATGACATTTTCCACTGAGCATTATTGAAAAAAAAACAACTAATATCACACAGACTTTACATAGATAAAGCCTTTTGTAATATGTTAGCTTTGCTTGTGTGTACAAATATTCGTATTTCTTCAAGG